AGATCCTTGCATGGTATTGTTTAATTTTTAGAAAGGTTGTTTTCCTCACATTCGTTTAAATTTTTAATTTCAGCTTACATTTTGAATCGCAACCGCTCACCTGATCTGATTGAGTTGATTAAATTACCAAAATAGTCACAGTGAGGATTTCTTACTGAATTTCCAATGGACAAAAATGCCAAAAGTTTGATTGATTTGAAATCCCCAATTTGTAGGATTTGCACAATTGAATTATAGTTAGGTCATGAATTGACAAGTAGTTACTCAGTTGAAATTGATTGTAAGGTGTAAATCATTTCTGCTTCTAGTTCTGTATTATGGTCTCAGCTACATGTAGTTACCTCACTTATACATGGGTCATATTTACCAATGCATTGCATGCTTTGTCCTTTAAAAAGGCAAACAACTAATGACAAATGTAAATTGCAAATTTTAGTATGGAATTCATGTATGATAATGCCGCCCACCTTGTAAAGTCACGCCCCTCCCCTTTTTTCTATTAACAACAAAAGTAGCAAAAGGCATGCGAGATAAGATAAAAGAACAAGTGTAAATGATGAGAATGGCTGGTGTTTTCAGTTTTGACGGATTTTTCCCTTTTTTTTTTACATGGAGTTTTGAGCGGAAATAAACCAGTGATGCCTTTTCCAAAGAATGTTGTTTGGGTACTTGATTAAATGCAAGGTAGTTTAAACAGCATGCACAACGATCGATGGAGCAGCATGAGATGAGGTAGTACCAGTAATGAAAGTCCACGACAAGTAGGTCCTCATCAGTAGTCTATTTGCCTCCCGTTCCTGCGGAGGTTTTACACATTTCCATACAGGTCATTGTCTTAAAAACATCGGCATACTTGCAAATGTGACAGCAAAATACACGTCATCCATTGCTTCAATACATTTCTGGCAAATTTAGAAACTGTGAGTTCAGGGTATAAAAAAATACGTGTACATGTATTCATGTCAGTCCGAAAATGCAGAAAGAAAAATAAAATGTGCATAAAATGATTGCAACTGAAGCAACTAAGCTGCATTGTTCACTGGCTGTAGTTTAAGACACTCCGGAAAAATCTTGTACGACGAAGACTTGGGCACAACGATCTCCTTAAAATTGCCTGTAGCCCATAAAACCATAGTTTCAAGCTTCATTAATTTATCACAATTGATTTAATCCCTTGCCCCTTAGCTTATGCAAAATGCCCTCTGATGTCACGATTTCAATAAAAGTTTGATGACTACAATCTGCTTAACCCAAAGAGGGCGCTGTGTAACCTAGCAATGCCTGTAACGGTGTACATGTAGTTACCACAAGATGACTATCCAAATCGTCTGCCATGGGAATCACTGAAATGGTTAGTTCTGGTGAGAGATCATGTGGCAATGCTGCTGGATGCCAAAGTCCAAGCTGAACCATATTTCTCCTAATGCTGTCCAAAGTATCAAAATCGTGCAGTTTCTGTCTTGTCTATGTACTAGCAATCTAGGATATTTTTGCATCATGTCCTCTGAAACTGAATATTTTCCAGGCTGTAGGAGAAGATCACAGCTTTGACTGCTGCGCCTCCTGTCCCACAATCCCTCTGTCTACCAGGCTCTGAATTTCATCCTCGCTCAGTCCCACTTCCAGGAGCACTGTCTTGGTGCCCTGCCCGACTGCCGTCTGCTCGGTGGTCCTCACAACGGCTGGCGTCCGAGATAGCCTGGGTGCAGGGCCGGGCTCCATGCCTTCCCCGTCCTCGGACTGCAGGAAGGAGCCTCCCCGTGCCTTGTTGTGAGGGTGTTCTGGTGCGTCGTCCCCCGTCAGCACTGGGGTCACACAGGCGTCTGTGCCGTCAAAGATGCGGCACCAGTCTGCCTGGGTTTTGCTGGCGAATATCCTGGTGATGACTTCCTTGGAGGACGGCCAGCTGTGGCGGTCCACTTGAGGGGGGAGGTCAGTCTCAGACAAACCAAGACCTATAAAATATATTTTGATATTTTCAAAAGAAAATCCCGAGACCCACTTTTTATGTAACTTTATACTCTTCAAATCATGAAAGCATAATTAATGTGCATTTTAATATCAACAAATCACCAAAGAAAAAGAAATCTGGGACTGCACAGTATCAAAAATTTTAGCAGTTTGCGCACCAGTCGATGCAACATTGAGTTTTTCTTCCTGGAAACTCACAGTTTTTATCATAAATATGGAAATTACAGTCAGCGCAGAAGCTAAACAGGCATACAAAAATGAGATTACTGAACCACGAAGGTGTATTGTCAAGGGTTGTAGTGAAACATTGAATGCGAGTAAAATTATGTTCTCACACTATCTCAGTTGTATATTGCTTTGGCTGGGTATGCTTTTTGGGCTGTACATTAAATTTCAAAAATTATTATAAAATGCAAATTCCCATTGGCCTATCAGTTTGGTTTTTTTTTTAATAACTGAAAAGGGTCATCAATCCAACAAATTGATGTGAGAGACAATGAAGTCTACCATCTGCTGTCTGCATTATAAATGACGAAAACTCTCTTCAATAACCCATTTGTACCTTTAAGCAGCTCGCTATAAAATTGGGGCTCCAGGGCTCCTACGGCCATGTACTTGCCATCTGATGTCTTGTAGGTGTCGTAGTAAGGGGCACCAGTGTCTAATAGACCAGTGCCCCGCTCCTTACCAGTCAAACCCAAGTCTCGGGTGGTCCAGAGGAATGAGCTGACATAGGCCGAGCCCTCAACCTATGAAAAAAAAACCGTAGGCGAAAAACTTGCAACTGACACTTGTTTAAAAATTTTAAAGGCTAGCTGTCCAACTAATTGCTGTCACTAAAATATTAATGTGTGCATTCTACATGTGCATACCGGTGAGGTTTAACATGTGACATTTTATGGGTATATTGAGAAAGGGCAGACAAAGTGGATATAATCTACTTGTTGTAACAAGTCACTAGATTTGGTGCCTTGAGTAGAGTTGAATCACTTTAACATTGTGAAACAAGTCAAGTCATTAGGTCAAGAAGTTGAGTCGAGTCACTATGTAGTCGAGTCGGGTCCAGTCAAGTACTGAGCTCGAGTCAATTGGAGTCACAAAATTTTGAACAAAAACAAATACAAACATAACCACATGTATGTTTTTAGTATTGTTTATTTCCATTTAGACATACTGAAAACAGATTAGGGTGACAGGTATCTAGTCAACTTTTAAAATTTGCTTCTAATTTTTTTGAAACTCGAGTTTTATAAGCTTGTACTCAAGTCAAGTCTCCATGAAAGATTCAAGTTAGCGACTCCAGTTGAGTCATTTACCTGTCAGGACTCGACTCAAGTCACCAAAAAAGTGACACGAGTTGGATTAGAGTTAAGTAATTGACTCGAGTCATTACAGCTCTGATAATGAGGCAGAATTACGGGGAGCAAATACATTCAGTCATCTCTAAAATTTTCAAGTATGTTGTGTAGGAAGTGGTTAAAGATTATTCTAAGTTCACTTGCGCTTTTAATAATGGGGTTTGCTCTTCTAGTGACATATACATATATAACACTGGACATTCAGTGTTTGTCTGAGAGATCGCGAAAAATTCACTAGATTACTCAGGTGGGACTCAAACCCATGACCTCTTGTTTACTAGTGCAGACATCTTAACCACTGATATTGCCGGGGTCGGCTGGCTGGTCCGAGTCAGCTGTAGCAGCGGATACTTGCAATCTATTACAAGATGTATTTTAGGTCACTTGGGCTCGCTAACCAAAAACAGTTCATTTCAAGATTTTGTATGGACAAACAATCCTAACATAGCAGGTGAGGCTTGAATAAGCTGTCACAAGAGAACAATTAAACACGTGCCCTGCAGAACTGTAACGACTCACTACCAAGTTTGTTTGGTTTAATGAGTTCATCTGCATCATTTAAAGTATGTTCACTGCCAGTCCAATTATCACAGCCTCCAATAATCTGCGTGCTGTACCTACCATGTTGGCATCTATGACTTGACCTTTGCCCGACCGAGCTCTCTCCAGCAGTGCCATGGTGATACCTAGGGCACAGATCATCCCACCACCGGCAAAGTCTGCCATGGTGTTGACTGGTGGGGTAGGCTTCTCGCCTTTACGGCCAAAGAACGACAAGACTCCTGGATAGGGCCCAAGAGACAGTGGAAAAAAAGGTGGGGGGAATTTTCAACTAAGACCCCCAAATTTGACGGGAAACTGCACCCAACCTTTTTAATTTTGGGGGCTACGCTTGGAAATAAGTTCAACAAGGTCAGTTCCCTTGCCAGAATATCCTGGATAAGGTATCAAGAATTCATATCCTGGGCCTATTATCCCGTGGCCATGCAGATGTGAGCTCAAGCTACATGGAAAGAGTCTATCTGTAAAGTAGGTGCAAAATGGATTTCAAACTGACCCATTCTAAATATCTGTGAGCTCCCACTTCATATGATTACAATTTAAAGCTCTCATTGTAAGGTACCAGAAGTGGTTGTCTTACACATCGTGGTCAATGGTGCAAAAAGTACAAAAACACAAGCAGCTGCCGGTATAGGACCAGGTTTTTTCGAGGATGCATTTATTGGTGTACATTTGTGAGGTGGCATGTCGAATACAGAGTAAAACTGAGGAGAGACGGAACAAAAGAGTAAATTCATCAGTGGTCATGTATGTGCTTTACAAAGTAAACACGGGGTGCGTTCGCGCGGTTAGTCCTGTTAACATGAGTAGGATGCGTGTGCATTACACTCGGGTACAGGAATATACTCCCCCTCTAGCAAGAGTATACGCTTGCTGACCCTCGGGTCATACTCCAGCCGTTTGAGTGCTGAGAAGTATACTCGTGTCAATGTGAGTAGCTCGCTCGAACGCACCCTTGGTGTCAAAAGAGTCCACAGAAAGTTAAAGTGCATGACCAATAGACATTCTCAGCTTGGATAAAATTTCATTTCTCTACTTAACTTTTTAGGTTGTTTTATTTTACCCGAGAGTCCAATGTAGTTGATGTCGTGTCCAGCCATTTGCTTGAAGGGCCCTGACTGGCCAAACCCTGTCATTCTGGCATAGATTAACCTGGGGTTGTCCGCCATTAACACTTGAGGTCCCAGACCCAACTTCTCCATTACACCTGTGAGAAAAAAAAAACAAATTGCAAAACATGATCTGCTGATAATCCGAAATTCTTCATATTACATTGCAGAGTCCTAAAGCTACACACTGTGGGAGAATGCATTACTAGGAGATGGTCTGGTGAAAAAAACCCAATCTGTTATCACAAGGTACATTTGGAATCAGTACTCAGTTACTACTTTCCTTCTGCACAATAACATGCTAGCAGGCTATGAACCCCCGAGCTGGACCAAGAAAGGGTGCAATTTTTCTAGCAACAGAGGCTCCTTTGGTGAGAATTGCACTTCGCTGGTTCACAAACGACTATGCATGTGTACAGGTGTGTCGTTACCAGCAAAATGAACACTCCCAACCTGCATGGCTCTTGTGAGTGAGGGAGTGCTTCTGCTTGAGGTGGATTGAATTCCAAATTTTTCTAGTTTGATCCATGCTTCCCATGGTAGGAAGAAAACCCAAGATTTATATCAGGACCTCAAGTTTTCCAAGCAACTGTTTCATGTCTACAACGATGGAATTTTTGGAAAAACTGAATGAGAAAAAGATGGCCAAATTTTTATTTTCACATACATATATTTATTCTTTCAATCCTGGTGATTCCAATCTTGAAAAATATGGAAACTCACACCAGTCTCACATCTCTTCAGAAAGTCTAACCCTTCTGAAAGAAGGCTTTATTAAGCTGACCGAGAGTAACTAGCGATGGAAGGCGGGGGGGGGGGAAGAAAAGGAAAGCTCCCTGGGGTCCCTTAGCCTGGCCCATCAGACCCATCAGATGTCTACCTGGTCTGTAGGGTTCAATCAGAACGTCTGCCGTCTTGCACATCCTCTTGAAGACCTGAACCCCCTCAGTTCTCTTCAAGTCCATACTGATGGACCGCTTCCCCCGGGACAAACGGTCCACGGTGAACAGGCCCTGCCCCAGACGGTCCACCCGGATCACTTTGGCCCCAAAGTCAGCCAGGACCATTCCAGCAAAGGGGGAGGGGGCTAGGCCCGCCAGTTCAATGACTCGGGTACCAGCTAAAGCCATGGCAAATGGATGAGTTTGTTAACTGCAGACACAGCAAATGCTGAAAAAAATGAATTAAATGGGAATAAAGCTTTCGATATTGCAAATTATGAGTTGGACCTTTATTTCATTACACTATGCTCTTTGAGCTATAGAAGAGAGAAAAGGTAAAATAACACGATTGGTATGCCCAAACTACATGCATGAAATAACACTGTTTGGTTCAACAAAAGGTGGAAAGGTCACGACAGCCATACAGCTCTGCCAGGCCAGCTATAATCAGGAAATTTTGATAGAGCCCTAAAAAACCTCAAAAAGTTAATTTATTGAGGGCCCTATTTATTTTTTTGTTGGCTTTGTCCCGGTGGCTCTGTTCCTTGCTCTACGGGACAGTGCGGACATCCGGGATTCCTGCAAAATGACAGGTACTACACCGGTGAAAACAGCGACCTTGGCGACATACGCATGCACCAGCCAGTCCGAGGATTGGGTTATACAATCTTGTCTTTGATCTGTACGTACAAGCGCTCGTTGCAGTTGTTTTTACCAGCCGCGATGTGGTTGCTACCCGTACTTTTGTGAAACTCCCGGATGTCCATGCTGCCCCATAAGCCTTGTCACAAATACTGCATGGGTGATCTTGCACAATGGTAGAAAGGTATTGTGGGAAGGAAAAAGGGGAAATGTTTGCTCCTTTTTCCTTCCCACAATGCCTTTCTACCATTGTGTAAAATCACCCATGCAGTATTTGTGACAAGGCTTATGCTCAAGCCCACCAAAGCTTTAAAAAATCCCAGAAACCGGAACTTTCTTCCCTTGCACTGCATGAGGATTGCTAGAGAAAGTATTGAAATTCTGAACACAACTGGATAGCCTAGTTCTTTTCAAAGATTTTGCTGTTCCAACTTGGTTTTGGTAGGCTAACTAGTAAAGGGGTTAAGGGTAATAAAATAAATCTTTCCAAAGTGTATGTAGGATTCATGCTAGCCTATTTGCTTATTCGCTGAAACTGAGGTCCAAAAGGCAGATTACCAATGGGGACAATGAGCCGACAGGTGGCAACAGTGTACTCCCACTATGTGTGCCGTGTACCTGGTCCTAGTGGGAGGCCCTGCGCAAGGCCTCTGCGAGAGATCACCAGGCACCGGCACCAAATAAGCGGAGGCCCGGTGGCCAGCAGTCTAGTGTAAGCATGCAGTGTGTGAGTACTTACATGTACATGTATGTACACGCACATGTACTTCGCCAACAATCAGCGCAGCTAGCTTGCAGTGCGGCGCTTGTGCACATGTCATACATGTCAAGCGCGGGATCACCACTTTTGTGACATTTAGAAACAAAACAGAAAATATACATTAAAGAAATTGTGTTTTGAGATAAATTGAAAATACTATTCCATTAAATAATATTTTTACTGATTTTTATAATATTTGAAACTTTTTCTGGTTACATATTTTGTAGTTTCACTCTAAGTACTTGAGATTATTTTTTGAAGTATTGAGAGAGACAGTAAAATTTCAAACATGGCGCCACCCAAGACAAAGTTTGCTGAAGGTCTGTTTGGTTTTAATTTACTGTTTGGTGTTTATTTGACATTCTTCCGGCACGAACTATGAATCAATACTACTTTGATGTGGCTTTGTGATAGGCGTAAATTTTATGTTTCATTATTTACCGAAAAGCTGAAAAAGCATTTGATCATAATTTAGGCCTACCAGTGGTATTGCCATGCGTGTCGGACATGTTTATAACATTATCATAGATTTGTCAGTGCATGGAGGTCATTGTTACGCCCCAACTATAGCGTCTGTCCCAACTATAGCTGGGACAGTCCCAACTACAGTGCTGCTGTTGGGCTGGCCTAACTATTGTCGACCAATTTCTGTTGAAAATTTATCAACCTTTTTCAAGTGTATGGCATTTTTATGCTTCTCACACTTGGCACTTGGCAAAATATGGCACTTAACCCCTTCATGTCGGGAGGCGTCCACAGCCGCGGCTTTGTGTGAGGATTAGTGCATACCACACATATAGTCTATTACCATGCAGCTGCTGGTTCAATGGGGCCTGCTGCTGGACAGCACTTGCATACTGGGCATACAACAGCCCAGCATCAGCAGTCACGGTCAAAAGAAACCCAGCGTGAAGGGGTTAATCATGTTAATCTATGACATAACATTGTATTTGTAAACAATATGACTTTGGAACATGCTGGGTGCATGCACACTGGACCTCTGTGCTGTAGTTAGGCCGGCCCAACTACAGCAATCTAGTTGGGACAGGTTTAGTTGGGGCTGATGCTGTATTTGGGGCGTACCTTTATGACTGCAGAATGAACATGATGAACGTAGTCAGGATAGTGAACAGGCATGACAGGTGATGTGTATATTTTGCCATGACTTTGGACTGCATTGTTGCATTAAACAGCCAGCAAGGCACCCACATAATCATGATCATTACCACAAAGCCTTTTTCACATTTCATGTGCGCAAGCTCAGAAGACTAAAACTGAGGGGAACAAATTCATGACAACAGTGTTGTGAAACGTTTGTTAAATAGATGCTCGTGATTGTTAGTGTTGTTGAAAATTCGTTCCCTTTTAGCTTTTTCCACTTACTCGTGCAACATGGCGATGAAATGGGAAATTGGCTTACATGAAATAAAGGTGCTCCTAACTGTACGAATGAATTGCAGCCAAACACTAGACTTCAGCACATGCTGCTTGGGAGCCCCATTTCGGGCACTAGGCTTTATACACAAAACCAGGGCCCGAAACCGGACAAAAGAGCTGGCCTTGTAACAAAAGATTGCACTTGGAACAAAAGACCGAGCTGCTGGGAATTGCCAATATTTTTTCAGTTGTCAATAGTGGAGGAAATCCGTCATTATTTTGAGAGATTACATCACTGTTTTCAGGCTTTCAGCACGAGCGGATTACCACCGGGGACAAAAGCAATCCAGCACTCCAGGGATGAGCGATACATACCGCTGCACACTAATCTGGCCCCTGTTGAAAAGACCCAGTAGTGCACTGTGCCAGTTTTTGGAACAAAAGAAAATTACATAACATCACACAATCTGGGCTCTTTTTACAAGGCGGCAGGCCTGGCTGAAATACTCGGGCTTCAATAGATGTTGTCTGTCAGATTAGAGTAGTCACCAGACAGTCACTCTTGTGGGTGTAAACGTCAGTATAAAATGAAGCTATGATTTTTTGAACAATTTTAAAAATGGAAAATCTTGAAAATCACCCGGTTTTATGTTTTGCAACTTCAAATTTCAACCGGCAGCAAGTGGTTAAGGAACGAGAGTAACAACTTTAATGTAACGACAACACATAAGAGGAAAAGATGGCGGCGCCTAAGCAGTAGAGGCGCACATCACTATTTGGGGACTGTCCCTGTGTATTTGGAGAAGTCCCCTTATTTTGGGACCAAAAAACCAGTCCCCTAAAAGAGAGAATGTCTCCTTAAAAGGGGACATTTTTTCCCAAGTGTGCTTAGGTCAAAAATATCCACATGCTATTTTCGATTTTTTCTCTCATATTTTCCATTCTTATTTAGTTATTTAAATTGTTTTTATGAATTTTGTGCAATGTCGCGTGATTAAATGTCTGTTATCATAAAGAATTGATTTTCAGAAAATTGTTTGGATGCAGTCTTTCCCCACCCTTTAGGTTCCATTACAGACTCCTGCTTGTAATCGGAGAAGTAAATGGTAGAATTTTTTTTTAAACAGCAGCCTTGGTGTTTTCTTCTGCTGAATCCAATTAAGGCATTAAAAGGATCCCCAGGGCAAGGGTAGGATCCCCATGCCCACTTGAAAAAAAATTTGTCCCCATTTAGAGGGACATTCTCTCTTTCCAGGGACTGGTTTTGTCCCCAAATAAAGGGACTTCTCCAAATACAAGGACAGTCCCCAAGTTGTGATGTGCATCTCTACTGCTAAGGGAGCCGGATAACAAGTTGTGAGAGGGCACCATAACACAACTGGCAGATCTAGATGATCCAGTGCTCGTGGCCTACACCACAGGCCTGAACAAAAATTATCACAATGACAGAGTGACAGTGTGGTCAAGTGGTAAAGGATATGTCACATGGAACCAAGGCAGCTTACCTCATCAGGCACATCGTGTTCATGTTGCACCACTTTTGGAATTTGTTTCTTCTGTTCTCTCTGACTGCCATTCATCTTTTCCACCATCTTCCCTCACCTAGGCCTGTTAGATAATGCTGTTTAGTAGATGGGTTGATAGTTTCATCATCTTGAAGTTTTTTATTTCTTATTTATCATAAGGGGAGAGAGTTCTTTGTTTTCATGGACCACTGCTGTATGAAGCAAAAGTAAGTAAATACACTGGACAGCAAAAGAAACTTGCCACTTCTGTCAAAGGCAAGTTTCAAAAATTGTACAAAAATTGTTTATTTCTATGAAGTGAATTTTTATGTGTGGGCTTTGACAGAAGTGGCAAGTTTCTTTTGCTGTCCAGTGTAGTTTTGCATCCATAGATATTAAGAATAAATACAAGTTATTAAATTTTTCTGTAAAAAACTTCTGTATCAGTGCATACTGTTGGTGCTAAGAGCTCATTTATGTGTTTACATTTTTTTATTCAGTGTGTAAAAGCAGTGGTCAAAGATAAAACAGTCAAGTACTACATTCATTATAATGGCTGGAATAAAAAGTGAGTATACAAATACTTTGTTTTTTTTACTGTGAAAATAATGATGCTTCCTTTTCACTGAGGCATATGTATAAGGTTCTGTTTTATTTTTTTAAATGGGGAAAAACAATGATCCCATGGAGAAATTTGTTGAAGATAAGGCAAAAATCAATGCATCCTTGTGCAATATTTGCTGCTGTTATTGTTTGGATAGTGTAACAATGCTATCCTGTTCCCTAAGTCTGATATTGCCGATGGTCTAATTCCTGGAGGTGTTGACATGAATTTCTTTACTTTTATGCATCAGCTGGGACGAATGGGTTCCAGAGAGTCGAGCGCTCAAATTCAACGAAGCCAACCTACAGAAACAAAAAGAACTTTTCCAGGCCCATCAAGCGTGAGTAGAAAGGTCACTGTAGACCAAAGATCGTATAGCGCCAAAGGCGCAAGATGGATAACTCTGCCCAAAAGATGTAACTACCATGGGCGCCATTTGAGCAAGCGATACGCCAGCACAGTTTACGGTAATGCTTGGGCGCAGGCTCACCAGGTGCATGTGGCTGCCGCAGCGCCTGTGCATTAATGTGCATTGCGCAGGTGTATTGCTTGCTTAAATGGCGCCTATGTGATTACAACGTTTCACGTGTATTCACGGTGAAGTTCACCATCTTGCGCCGCTTTGCAGCGCTATACGATCTTTGCTGTAGACCCCTCGCGTTAAGGCGGAGTCAGAGGCTATTCTTTACTGTTTTAAATGAATTGCAGTGAATGCACAAAAGGTTTACTCGAGCCTATCCTAGAGGAAGAAAGAAACGTCCTCTAACGTGACGTCATACGCAGGGGGGATACATTGATCTTCGTCATTTTGGATCCTTCAAAATTTGCCTGGATTGTGGAAGATTCAAAAGATGCGAACACTGTCAAGGGGGGTAAGTCACAGTAGCAGGGCTTCTGCTGTGGCTGTAAATTTCTGCAAGTGTTTCCACGCCTGGTTCGTTTTATACTTGTAAACAAGCGCACAGGCTGAAGTTTGAGTGACACGGCAGGAGACTTCATATCTGTTGACAGCCAGTTTTTCCTTTTGCAATCGAAAATGGACAGAACAAAATTTACCTGTCAGTTTTGACATTACAACTGAATTGTTTTAATTAAAAAACAAAAATCCATCCCTAGTTATTATTCAGATATCTCTTACACAGAGAAAAACAAGCGCAAAAAGAATTGTTTTCTCGGTGTAGATTTTTGGGATGGGTCATTGGGGTCAAACGCCATTTTAACGGGGGGGGTGAAGTCTGCAGATCAGAGATTTTATCTCATACCCTCAGAAGAGCTCAATCCATTCCAAACTGATTGTGATTTTATTTGTAGAAAAGCCAAGCGAGCTCGAGCCCAGAAGAAGTCAGACAAGCCCAAGGAGGTGGATAAAGAGAAGGAGAAAGACAGAGAGAAGGAAAGGGAGCGAGCCCCAACGCCCTCGGCAGAGAAACCTCCCACTAAGAGGACCAAAACTGAGACAGGTGTGCCACCCCTCTCCCCCTGTGGTGAATGTGCTGTGAATCCCCTTCCTGGGTCTTTTTTCCAAGCATTCAACCTGGGTCCTGTATAATCCTTCAACTGTCTGTTTAAACATTGGATACAGCCTCGATCCTCCAAAATCCTGTTATTTCTTGACTGTGCTCCTTGGAGATGTAACCATTGCCTCATTCCTTCAAAGTCCTCAGAAAACAACTGTCTGTGTTTTGAGGCACTGCAAAATATATCCATGAGCAGTGAAGATGGTTTTAAGTGTAATCCAGGTCTACACTGACCCATGGTTGAGCTTAAACAACTGAAGATCTGGCCTGAGACCATGATACAATTGATCCTTTAAGCTATCTACACATTTTGCCATGTAGTCGTAATACATTTTTGGGCAGGATGGGGTTAATTGTAAAATATCCTGTGCAGGGTTTTGAAGTGTTTATTAATTGTGATAGGTGTTTTGAGGGACCAGATGGTACATGTGAAATGAAGTGTAATGTGGAAGTGCATTAAACTGCTCACACTGGCCTTATCAACAAAAGATTGTACACGTACAGGGTTTTATCAGGCATTGTGTACTGCACAGAGGATACTTTTAATGGTTTTGAAGTCTCTGCACTGGCAGATGTGTCCAGCCGTATCCTGGAGGTCAGTTTCTGTAACTCTGGACTTCATTGCTAGTTTCTATTCATCGATGGTTACTGATTGCTGGGCTCTGACTTTTGTTTCCAGCCGCAACTGCCGTGGAGTCTGTCAGTAGCACACCAACACCAGAGCCACCCAGGAAGAAAAGGGCACGGGTTGATGCCACTGTGGAGAACGTAAGTCTGTAATCAATACATAATGTATTGATCAGATGATTAGTGATTGGGCGGTTAAAGATTAATGTTTGATTAATCAAGGCATTATATAACAGATGATAGTGTATCAGTTGATTACTAGACACTGATGGAGATATTGATTGACAGATTGATTTATTGGTCAGTAGAAATGAATGATACTAAGGGCCTGATAGTTGGCCAAGCCAGAGCTCACTCCTTACCCTGCCAACTTTGAGTGTTTGTCAGTAAGGATATAACTGAAACTCAATTCATTAAATGTCCTATTTTTGATGATGTGAAGCATTTATCGTTAGGAACTGTTCGAAGCGAACCACAAGGCCTGATGCAACACAGTAATAAGGCTCGCGAACAAAGAAAAAAAACGGTAGAATTTGAGAAGATGGATCGGAACATTTTCAAAATCTGTTATGTCCAAGCAGTGCTGCCCCTCTGCAGCCAAACTGAATTTGCAGTAGAGAAAAGAAGTCAATAATTGATTTCAGGAGGAATCTTTTGTGAACAAGGTGGAGATCAAGGTCAAGATTCATGACGAGCTGAAGCCGATCTTGGTGGATGACTGGGACCTCATCACAAGACAGAAGATGGTAAGAAAGTGTTGTCATTTTGAAGCTTTCTCATTTTTCCCCTTAAAAAAGGTTTTTGTGAAGGGTGAAGATTAATTTTGTTTATTCATGTATGTCTGTTCACAGGGTATATAGATAATATGTGTTAATTCCTAGCTGTAGCTGTCATCATAGATTGGATAAACCACTTCATACTTTGTTCAAGGAAATCAGTTAAACTTATACCTTTCACTTTGTTGCCCTTGACCTATTCCCCTGGGCCATTTTCCCCTTGTTATCCACCCCTTTGTCCTTTTTGTGGCCTGCAGTTGCTTCATTTACCTGCCAAGAATACTGTGGACTCGATCCTGGATGACTACGTCAAGCACAAGAAGTCAAAGAAAGATATCACACCATCCAAGTAAGTGTAGACATTCACAGTTCGTGTACATGTAGTTGTTGGACTCAAATATCAAGATATAGATGTTACTTAGCCAAGTTCTCTTTTCAGCCTCACATAGATGGCAGTACATTGATCTCTAGGTTCAGGTGCACATTTAACAATTATGTTGAATAAATGAAGTGTTGGGTTCAATCACATGCTCATCAGTTGACAAGACTGATGACTCTGTGTGTTGTGTTGGGTTCAAACGTGGCCTTAAAGCATCCCAAGATAATTATATGAAAGTGTAAGGAGAAGAGTTCAGCAGTGAAAATGAATTTGCATCATGAAAATATCATCCAGAACAATTGTGTACCGTTAAGTTTGGTGCCTTCAAGCATTTCCCGGTCATTTTGAGACAAATTTAGTTCTGATTCAACCGGGGACATTTTGAAAATTTGCCCGACATGATGCAGAATTTCAACTCAAAATGAAATTTGAAATGGATAACTCAGTTGTTTGTTTCTCATCGGTTCTAACGTTACCTATTTGATGTTCCCTCCAGAGAGAGTGCCATTGTGGAGGTAACCCAGGGCTTGAGGGAGTACTTTAACGTCATGCTGGGCACACAGCTGCTGTATAAATATGAGAGACCTCAGTACGCCGAGGTGAGACATCGAAATCCCCCCTCCCTTCCCCCTTCCCCTCTTGAGAATGTTGTTGTTGGAACATTTGTTCGCCTGGCCCCTGGCACATGGCAGCATACCTCTGCATTGACAATTGTTGAGGTTAGAATGCACTGCTTGTAGCTCAGTGCACTCCAGGCTGGTGGTGCTACCTGCCTTGTTGAGGACTATCCCGTTGTCGGCAACAGACTTCTGCATATTCTGCACTAGAAGTGTGCCAGCACGCTTACACACAAGTGAGATTGGAGCTAGGTGAAGGTCACGAAACAAACCCTGATCATGTTAATACTTCGAGGCTGTGGAGCGTCATATACCCATTGTTGTCATCAAGTCTCCTCAAGATTGTCATTGGACCCCTCATGATTATCACAAGACCCCACAAGAGCATCTCAAGACCTCCATTCTGAACTCAAGTCACAAGCTATTCGAACGAAAGGCAACAACAGCATTCCTCTGTCACTGTTCATCCTGTCAGTTGTGACTGGTCTTGTGATGGTCTTAACGACAACACTGAACGTACCACATAAAAATGCTGGAGCTCTAGGTTTACATAACGTGAGGCCAAGTTCCTTGTAATGAACTTCAGTCGAGTCATGTGGTACTTTTCCACGAGTGGGATAGACTAAAATGGTGTATTTCAACGTGGTGTATTTCAACGTCTTTCATGCTTCTTGAGAATGAGAAATCACTTTAATATGATGAAACATCCACAGTGAAATTTAGTTTAGTTGAAATGACATTTTTTTTGGTGAATTTGCAGATACTTGTCTTGAATCACTAATCCATCTATGAGTGGCCTTTACGTGGTATAAAAGATTAAGCTTCACTATAGTGTACAGGTCTCAGTATTTGAAAAAGTGAGTCTCATATTTTTATTGTTTGATTTACTTGCACAGATCCTGGCAAGTAGACCTGATGAACCTCTGAGTAAAATCTACGGGGCGCACCACTTTCTCAGATTATTCGGTAAAGAGACCTAATGGCTTATGACCATGATAGATTGTTGGAAGTTTTATCGGTGACAGCTAGTCAACCATTGGTTGATTTCACCCGGTACTCAGGATATATTATGTGCACTGATTACCAGGGAGAATCGACCAGTGGTCCGTAAATGGTCGCTGATCCAACCTGCCCTGGAATGCAGACTGGAAGATCCGAAGGGTTTTTCTACATCTGGGCTTCCTCTCTGTCTTTTATCTCCAGGCTTCAGTTTTTAGAGATGTAGTCACTGGGGTTGAGACCCTTGAAGATCCACAAAGCTTCATTTTCTGATGCAGACACATCTAATAATATTGAGGCTAACGTTTTAACATCTGGCCACTGGATTCTACAAAATAGGCATTTGAAACTGAGGAACTTAAGAGGAGGTCAAGGATCGAGAAAAACCCTGAGTTTTTTCCCAAATTGCAGCCTTGTCTTATACTTTGTGAGGCTCCCTGCCCTTCCATTATTTTGTAAAGGGGAGAATATGGGAACCGATCTAGAAATGGACCTTAATCATAGCAGTAAATATCCAAGCCTTATTAAATACCACAGAAGTGCCTGATGTACTGGGACATTGTACATTTGAGTCCCATCCTAAAAAATGAGTGACAAGTCATTAAAGCAATCTCTACCAAAACACAGCTTACGGAAAAAATGGGCTTCATTAAGACATGTTTTGTGAGATCTGGGTCCAATTTCGTAGAGCTGCTCAAGCACAAAATTTGTTAAAGCACGAGAAAACCTGGCTTGATAATTCAGGTAACCAGCCAAAACTCCATTGAGGTGTCTTTGGTTGTCCTTTCTCTATGGTTAGAATGACAATCAGATAGAGTTTGGGCTGGTAACCTTTGTTCTTTAAGCAAGTTTTTCATGCTTAAGCAAATTTTGTGCTTAAACAGCTCTACGAAATTTGCCCCTGGTCATGAAGTTATGGTGGTTACACACACCAGTTTTGATGTGGCTCTCTGGTTGCAGTGAAGCTGGGCAGTCTGTTGGCCTACACCCCGCTGGACGAGAAGAGCGTGCAGCTTCTCCTGACCCACCTGCAAGACTTCATGAAGTACCTGCACAAGAACTCCTCCACCCTCTTCAGCACCAGCGACTACGAGACGGCGCCACCAGAGTACCACCGCAAGGCCCTCTGAAGATGCGATTGATGGAGTCGGTGCTGTTCATTCATCCCCACCTGCTTTCGTCGGCCTGCGCGACATAATTTCTTCAACTCCTCATAAATTAATGTGAGCAGTAATGGGGGTCAACCGTTTCTTGTTCACCATGAAACGTGCACAGAATGGACTTACACTAAGGTAGTCAATTACCCACAAGGCTCTGTAACACCTGTACTTTACACATTTCTGTGGAGGGCATAAAGCCCTTTCCTTCACCCTGTTAGGTGCTGGTGACAAGTGAATCTATGTTGCTGTATACAGCTTTGCTGGGGTCGTATTGAATGGGGCTAATTCCTTCCTGGTCGAAGGTCAACGAAAAAGTCCCTACAGTGTCGAAGTCTGTTCAGAAAGTTCAGAGGGAGGAAAGTAGATCTAAATCCCGCAACTAATCCAAGCCTGACTGAGCCTGACTATAGCCTTGAGGATCGGGAATTTAGCCCATTTTTTAATACCATAATGATGCCATTCTTGGATGATGGGAACAGTCTTGCCAGGCCCAGGTGTAGGTCCAGGTATGGGATGTTTCCGAATCCCAGCATCATCTCAGGATGTGGCTTCTTGCCTTTTATTTTCCTGAACTTTGTTTTCCAAAAGAAAGCCACCTGTTTCAATGCAGTTTCTTTATTTTTTGTTGCAGAAATGTTCAATAGTCTAATGTAGGAACAAAGTTTGGAGATTTTTTACTGTGTTCCTGAAATGTTGAAAATTAATTTAAAGCCAAAATTGAGGCCAGAGTAGGAGATGAAGCCCAAATTTAAAAAATGGCTTCAAGCTCCCCCCCCAAAAAAAATCAACACCAGAAGGGGCTGTTGTTTAAATTGAAGTCAGAACTTGAACTTTTCACTGGTATGGATTCAAGCTTTCCCTTTTTTACCGATTTGGCTAGGACTTTGATCCAAAATTACTGTCAATTCTGAAATGTGGATGAAAATGAGCAATCACATTCACTCTACAATGATTGAGGTTGCTAATTTGTCACAGGGAGGTGTCTTTTTTTTGGCCATTGTACACACCAGTCAACTCGAGCAAAACATCAGACTTGAACATGTCCCTTTGGAAGGGAAATTGGCAAATCTTTGCATTTCATTTCTAATCTTTGTACAGATTTGTAAATTTTTTAATCATTGTACTCCTAGAAACTGAATTTCAGAGTTGGGAAATATCCTCCTTCGTCTTAAATACTTTATACCATCTTCAGAAGTAGCCTCAAGAATTTTTATTCTCCTTTTGCAAATGCACAGTTTGTAAATGACGCCATGTTTGTGATGGAGAAGTGTCGTCTTGCTAGTTGTGTGAAGGACCAATTACTGCTTTGCAAAGAAGGTTGGTTACTGAAGGATGTTGTGCACCTTCTCAAAGATTCAGACTTAAGAAAATCGCAGGTTTTGAATGCATTTAGATGCAATTGGGCTAGCTCAGAATCATGAAGGTATTATGAAAGTGTTTATGTTAACACCAGAGTTGAAGGCGATTGTATTCTCCCCCGTGTTGCCAAAAGTAGGTTGTGCCCCGACATATTAAATTCAATGAATTGACACCTCTAGGGCGAGGGTAAAACCAAGATATTCAGCTCTCCATTATTGATGAGAGTTCGTCACTGTTGTACTGAAGACAGGAATTGAAGTTTAGATACGTGTAGCTGAAACCAATCCACTTTTTAAAAAAATGCTTTTGTATTACTGCGCATAACCTTGATGGGGGAAAAATTCAAATTTCCGACTTGCGTCCTTTAAGGTGTGGCGATTAATTGCTTACCTCGATAAATTATTGACATACAGGTAGCTGAAACTAAACCACTCTTTGTGAAATTCTTTTTTTACTCTGTACGACCTTTTTCATCAATATGTAAATACAAGTAAGTCGTAGC